GGGCACGTATTGAATGGAGCACTGGGTGTTATACGCAAACAGTGAATCATGGAACACTACATCAAAAACTAATGATGTAATGTATGGTGATTAACGTAATAAAATAAAATTAAAAAAAAAAATCTTCCCCTCCTTTTACCTAAATTTCTCTAGTATTACAATTTTACAATAACGTTTATAGCTCTGATTAAAAATATAAATCATCAGCTTTTTCCATACATATTATCTTAAAAAAATGCAAATACTGACAAATGACTCAGTGAAAAAAGCTAGAAATTAAATATAATAGCTGATCACCTCTCATAATCCTAGCAAATAAATCAAAGTTAATATAAATGAAGAGCATAATGAAGGAAATGAGGTAAATGCAGTTCTACTTTTACCTGTAGACCTCATAATGAACAGGGTAGTCTTTTATACTTGGAATAAGTAATCCAAACTTTAAACCTACTGATTAATTTTTAGGAGATAAAACATGCAAAGCATTTTTCTTTGATGCATTATCAACAAAATAATACTTAGTAAATAATTAAAGTTGCCGAATGTTATAAAACTACCTACCTGTCTGAAATGGTGACATTTTTATTTATAAATAAAGAATACATCTTTCAGATGTCACCTTTATAATGAAATTTTTTTTGACAGAAAACACGTTGAAGTATGTTCTCTAGAACACTGAACACAATATTTATATAAATTTGGAATTGGCCATAAAGGGGTAAAAGATCTTATAGTTTATACAAAGGTAGAAGTAATTCAAGAAATCCAGAAATGAGTTTTTAGGAAAAAAATTAATATGTACTTGCATATCATTTAGGGAACTTCACATTAATTTAAAATCTAATTTAAAGCCATGGTCAAAATTATTCTAGCCTTCAGAGATTTCAAAGCTTCCTGAGTTATGTTTCTTACAAATCTTATTTCTTTGAGATAGCATTAAAAAAAAAGAAACTTCATCCAAGTATTTAAAAGTTAAATACTCTCTATCCAATGTCATTGTAAAATTTGCCCTGAAAAACACATTAGAAATGATATATAAAAGTTACCTGATTTAGAGGACCATTGTTTATATCTGATGATTTACTTATATCCTTCATACAAATAATTTCATTTTCATTTAGACTGCAGAAGTGCAGTGAATTCAGAAGATCTGGAAGTTCCAAAGAAACTGTCGCTAAATCCTAATTTAAAAGAGTAATACAATAAATAACACTTTTGTTAAGATTCCTATAATGTGCATGGCCTTATCCAAAACTACAAGGTCTATGGTTAATATATTTCCCAGTTCAAAATAATTAACATATGTAGCTTATCATACACAATTTTTTAACTCAAAAATAAAATGTACTAAAATATTTTAATACCTATTTCTGTAGCCTTTAAAAGTACGGACATCAAACTCTAAAGCATTTTTACATGGTACCTCACACATCCATGACAATTAGCATTTTAGTAGTTTTTAGCTGTAAATGTCAACCTGCAGTCTTCAGGTTAATCATGGAACACTTCCCACATATAGGGATTCTTCCAAGTAGAACGTGCTTCTTGGAGCTTAAGTTTTATATTTGTAAAATACAAATCTGTTTTTCTGCCTTTCCTCTCCAAGGTATTGTATTAGACTCTGACTGAAAATTTTTATGAAGATATTAAGGAAAACAGATTTTTTTTCTCATTTGTCCTTTTTATGTAAATACTTTTTTTTTTAAAGATTTTATTCATTTATTTGACAGAGACAGAGAGCAGGAGAGCACAAGCAGGGGAAGCAGCAGAGGGAGAGGGAGAAGCAGGCTCCCCGCCGAGCAGGGAGCCCGATGCGGGTCTCGATCCCAGGACCCTGGGATCATGACCTGAGCGGAAGGCAGACGCTTAACCAACTGAGCCACCTAGGTGCCCCCTTTATATAAATACTTTACCCAGTGAAAGAATTAATGTCTTTGACCCCTCCTAGAGTACTTTCCTTTATAAACATGACTTTATCAGTAACTCTCAAAGAGGAAGTAGACTAAGAGAGAAATACTTTGAACACTTCTCCCTGCAGCCTTATGTTCTCAGGAGTACGTCTTCTCTTGTGCCTTCTGTCTAAATGGTTTCCTTCAGGCAAGGGCACAATCAAGACACACAGCAGTTTTCATTATCACCTGACAGGCATTATTCATAAAGAAGTAAACGGTTATTACTTTTTCTTTCGGGAGATACTTTACTGCCACAAAAGGAAACACACAGCAATCACAAATATTAAGAAGGTAAAAAAAAAAAAAAAGATGTAAATTTTGGGCTAATAAGGCAAATTTCATGGTCTCAAAATTTGTTCCAAATAATCTCCCATGGTCTTTTCCAGTTCAGTAAGTTGACCATACCTGTATATGAGCAGCATCTGTTTCTTCATTAAAACCTAGAAATGTGACCTGAATAAGAAAGGAATAAAGCTCCATTAATTTGAGTTTTTAAGTCTTATCACAATTAGATTATTGACAGAGCTGAAATATAGAAAAAAGCACATAAAACATTAAAATGCTGGCTGTTATATACAAATGTTGAAGCATTATGTAGTACACCTGAAACCAATAGGTTACATGTCGATTATACCTCGATTAAAAATAAATACATTTTTGGCTCGGCCGCCATCATGAACGACACATTAACTATCCGGACCAGGAAGTTCATGACCAACCGACTACTTCAGGGGAAACAGATGGTCATTGATGTCCTTCATCCCAGAACGGCAACAGTACCTAAGACAGAAATTCAGGAAAAACTAGCCAAAATGTACAAGACCACACCAGATGTCATATTTGCACTTGGATTCAGAACCCATTTTGGTAGTGGCAAGACAACTGGCTTTAGCATGATTTATGATTCCTTGGATTATGCAAAGAAAAATGAACCCAAACAGACTCGCAAGACATGGCCTGTAGAAGAAGGAAAAGACATCAAGAAAAGAGTGAAAGGAACGCAAGAACAGAATGAAGAGAGTCAGGGGGGCTGCAAAAGCCAGTGCTGGTGCTGGCAAAAAGCGAGCTGGAGACTGGACACCAGAAGGAGAAAAGATGCTGCAGTGGCTTTATCTGTGGTGCTTGTGCAGATTTTTCACGAGAGGATTAATGAACTAAGAATGTTAATGTGAAAAATAAACAAGTACATTTTTTAAATGCTGGCTCTCTTGGACAAAATGATTCGTTTTTCCAAAGATCATCACAAAGGTTTGTCACCAAAGATCTGGTTCCATAATGCAGCTCTTCAACCTTCCCCATATCCACTTCATTAGCAAGTTCAATCAATTCTACTCCGCAAACATATCTCCCACACATCTACCTCTCTCTGCTCTCCCTGCCGTCACTTCTCATCTGCGCTATGGTCCCGTCCCACCTGGTCTCGGTAATAATCATGTCACTCCCTTGTCAAAACCCTTCCACGCTTCCCACTGCAATGTCCTAACCAAAGCCCCCAGGATCTGGGTTAGCTGGGGCTTTCAACCTTCCCTCACTTTTATTCATACACATGGGCCCCCTTTCTGGGTCTAGAACATGCCCAGCATGTTCTTGCCTAAGAGCTATGCAGTAACACCCCCTCAACCTGGGTCTCTAGTCCTTGGATGCTTACATGACTCGCTCCTCCTCATTCTTCAAGATCCAACTTAAATGTCACCCCCTCAGAAAGGCCTTCCTGGGGTAGGTCCCCAAAACTCCTTATTGACTTCCTGTGATATTATCACTTATTTCCTTCAACACCCTTATATAGTGATTTCTCTGCAAAAATTTATATAAATTAAATTTCTAAAGAATATCTAATGGCATGAAAACATGTCACATTATTAAGTAAAAAGGACAAGTTACAGAAAAAATGATACAAGGTATGCACCCCATTTCAACTTTATTTTTAAAAACATGCATGAAAAATAGTACTAGAAAGCAATAGACTAAGAGATAAGCAGAGATTAATTCTAGATGATGGAATTGTAAGTGATCTTATTTTTTTCTACTTTTTTCATGTTTCTTCCCCCTAATTCGTAAGATTAACGATAGGCATTTTCTTTTTTTTTTAAAGGTTTTATTTATTTATTTGTCAAAAAGAGGGAGAGAGGGAGAGAGAGCGAGCGAGCACACACAAGCAGGGGGAGCAGTAGGCAAAGGGAGAAGCAGGCTCCCCGCTGAGAAAGGAGCCCGATGCAGGACTCAATCCCAGGAGCCTGGGATCATGACCTGAGCTGAAGGCAGATGCTTAACTGACTGATCTACCCAGGCGTCCCTGATAAGCATTTTCTTTTTGATGCTTGCAGTATTTCTTAATTTTCTACAAGCATCATGTACTACTTCTGTAACCCCAAAAAAGTATTATTTTTAAAATTTATATTCCCTTTATGTCTTTGACATCATAGGAAGAAAAAATTTCCATCTGAAGACAGAATGGTAAACTGTCGACTAAGCAAGTACCGTGACTAAAAATATGAAATACTTAAATGATAGCAATATGGAAAATCAATTCTCAAGAATTAAGGGAAAGCAGCATAGTTAAAATATAAAGCAACACTCAGTATACTTTTGATCTCTTTCTGATGACTCACAAACATGTCAGAATATTACATTACTCCAGGATCATTATTCTAATTATGGTTATCACTTCCCAAAAGTACTACAGTTAATTTCCAGGTTTCTAGGTAAACTGTTCGGCTCTAGGAGCCAATCAGTCTCCTCATCTGTAAAACTTAGAGCGATACAACTCCTCTTCCACAGTTGTGAGGGTTAATCGAAAACATGGAGGAAAGTGCCTCGCACATCACAGACACTCAATAACAAAGACACTCAAAAACAAACTTCCTTCCTTTCTTCGAAAAAATACTTTGAGATATGCACACCCACAAATGAGACAGAAATTCCTTCTATTCTTTCAAGTTTCCTTTCACTGAATACAAAAGAGAAAATAAGCTGACAAGGAGTTTTGAAGATGCCAGTAGTTTTATATTTCCCATTGATCGAGGAAGGCCTCACCAAAGAATGTGGGCTCGGAAAGGCACTACGTAAGCAACTGGAGAGATACAGGCTGGAAAACTGTTTGAGGGCAGAAGGACATAGCAGACTTGTCACACTTGGCAACAACTGAGGAGATTAAGAGAGGCTCAGCTTTACTCATGTAAAGCAGAAGGGATAACAGAAGATAATAGTCAAGAGCCATAGAAATTAGCTGACGCAAAAGGAAAAGGCTCAGGTCAGAGAACACTGCAGGCCTAAAACGTCTGCTCACCATCCTCTAGAACTACTTCAAATATAGTTTCTCAAGGAAGATGAAAGAAAAATCCTTCCCAAAAATAAGAATAATCAAGATTTTTTTAATTAGATCCTTGGTTTCAAAAAAAAATTTTTTTAACTAACATACGTATCACTTTTGAGCCTGAACAGCCTAATACCTTACTTCCCTTATTTGGTGACATGAATGTGTTGATGGGACTATAGCTATATTGCAGGAAAAAGTGTACTTCTTTTCATAGTAGTAAGTCCAAACAAAGACTGGAAATACTGATGGAGCAAAGAAATAGGTGAGCAAGGAGTATATCTTGAGTAGTAAACACATTAATTTCAAAGTAAATTTATCACTATTTTTTCATTTTGTATCAAAGTACTGAATTTAAATAATCAAGAAAACTAATAAAACCACAAAAAAAGAATAAAGAAAACAGTATATATTTCATGTTTAAGAGTAGAAAATTTTAGTATTAAAGTATCAATTATTGAATATAGCAAGGAATCATCTAATACAGTGCTGTATGTCCAGTGATTGGGATCAACAATGCCTATACACTGAATTAAATGTGCTCACTATAATAAACTAAGACAATCATGTTAGCCAATATTTAAAACAGGTACTTCTCAAACATGTATTAATATGTAGAGATTTTAGGCAATTTAAAAACAGATGATGCAGCTTCACAAAGAAGCATGAAAATACACTGTGTTTCAATAGGAAGAGATATAGAAAGTATTACGTCAAACCTCAGTCAAATTGGCATGTTCGTCCTGCTTTAAACAATCCTCTGCTGATATACTGCATAGTTCCTTCTCACTCTGTAATAAAGACTTGACAGACTGGAACACATCTTCACTGAAGCTCTGAAAATAAAAGATATTCTTAATTTATTTAATTCTAAGACAAGGTAAAAGATCCTAGAGATATTCTATTTTTAAATGTAGAGTCACTAACCCTCCAGTTAATATTCATTTGGCACCTGTGGATATATACAGCCCTCAACTGAGCTGAGAAGAAGAACCAACAAAGGGCTTAATCAAGTAGAGTTCCACATGCTCAAAACACACACACCACAACCCAGGCATCTGACCTACTGGAAGCTCATGAGGCCCTCACTCTGGGTTGACTTACTCTTACCCCACACTGAAACCCAAGAGACTGCATACCTGATTTCCAAGTCACTGGCAACAATTATATGAAGAGTAAGATGATGTGGACACTATATTAAGGCATGCTAACAAAAGTGATTACTCTCATAAAGAAGGTGGAGAGATGGAAAAAAGAGATAATAACCGAGCTAAGGCTTTTCAGGGGTCCTAAGGCAGCTATATGATAAAATGAGGGAAGGTTTTCAGATTTGGTGGGGGAGAGGTCACAAACACAAAGGAACAGAGGGAGGAAAACATTACATAAAGAAAATAATGAGTATTACAGTCAGACATAAAGAGAACATTAATTTCATTCTACTTTATTCTCCTCCCATTGATTTACTGATCTGCTCTTCTATTAGAAATGTCCTTACTCCCTAATCTTTCCCTGTAGAAATCCTACCCAGCCCAAGACCTATGAAGATTTCCCACCCCTTAGTCATAATAAATCAAAGTTTCTACTGTATTATCTACACACTGAGGTCATTTAATCCACATCACAACATACTACCATTACTGTTTTCCTATATATTTGTCTTTCCTACCATTAAACCAAATTATTAAGGTCACAGACTGTATTTGACTCAATTTGTTTCCTCAGATTTCAGTATCTCACATACTATATGAATTCAATAAATGTTTGCTAAATAAGAAGTTGGTGGAAATCTTTGGTTTAAAAAATGAGATACATACGAAACCAGAGCAGTAAAGAAAAAAATATAATATTAAATTTGAATATGAATTATCAATATGAACTCATGTTAAACATATGTCCTACTACATTTTTCCACTGAAACATCACAGAAGCAATGACCCTCAGTAGTAATGCACCCAGATTTTGGTTTCTAAATACCATTTTGCCAATAAAAAGAACTAGAGCTCTTGGGAAAATGGCTGGTTCCAGGCTGGAGGCAGAGAAAGTATGACATGTGGGTTGAACATCTTAATTGTGACAGAAAGCAACAAAGTGCTCAGGGACTAACTGGGTCATTTCAAAAGAAACAGCAGCAACAGGTGAAGGGGATTAAGAGCACATTTACTGTGATGAACACTGAGTAATGTATAGAAGTGCTGAATCACTGTGTTGTACGGCTAAAACTAATATAACACTGTATGTTAACTATACTGGAATTAAAATTAAAAAAAAAAAAAGAAAAGAAAATAGAAGCCAACCTGAAGGAATTCCCACTGGCCAAATTTAGGCATCAAAAGAATAAAAGTGGTAATGGATTATAACAACTGGATTTTTTTTTAAATCTATGAATCCATTAAAAGAGACAGATAAAAGGATGGGGGAAGAACACTTCTTTACATAAGAATGCTGGATGACAAATATGGACAGAATGACAAAATTTACAAATGTCATTTGTAAATCCCAATGTAATTACTAATTTAGGGAAAGATTATCGATGTATCCTATCACTGGGTTAAAAGCTACTGGGAACAGGATACTCACTCTCTGCCAGCATCACCCTACAGATTACTTATTAATTGTACCAATTATAAAGGATACATGTCTTTATGTTGGAGATATCTGGTGATACTGGGGGGAGATCAAAGAGACACAATACCCAAATAAAACGTGAGTCTTGATTGGATCCTAGATGAAGAGCAAGGTAAAAGTAACAAAGATATCTGAGACAATTAGGGAAATTTGTATACGGATGGCATGCTAGATGATGTTACTGAATTAACAATTTTTCTGAGTGGTAGTAATGATGCTGATGTTCTTAAGAGATGTCCGCAGCCAACTCTCACATGGTTTCAAAAGGGAAGTGTGTGTGTGGGTCCGTGCATGTGTGTGCATGTGCACACATGTGTTTGCATACACACACAGATAGAACGGGTATGGCGAATGTTAACAGAGGATGAACCTAAGTGAAGGGTATGTATAGTGTTCATTGTACTGGTTTCTTTTCTCAACTTTTCTGTGGGCTTTAAAATATTCTAAATTTTAAATGATTTTCTATTTTCATTAATGAGTGCAGGTTTTTAGGCTGAGATACAAACAACTCAAAAAAAAGGAAAAAATATGAAATCTGAACCTAAACTATTGATATAAGTTCATGACACTGAAGGAGCAATGGGCACTCCTGCTACCCAGAGTACTTGGTTTCTAAATACTAGAAGGGGTTCTTTGGAGAAATAGCCAATTCCAAGTCTGGGAAAGGAAAAGTAGAAGGTGAAACTGGGTTAATCTGTTACACTAGAAAGCAGGGAAGCGATCAAAGAATTAAGAGCCTAACACAATAGGACATAGGCACCAGCTCAGAGGGGACCACGTCTGAGATCCCTTGAGCTACTTAAATAAGTAAATGAATAAGTAACTATAAATAAATAAAAGATTATAAAACATAGTGTTTTTAAAATCCATGAATCCAGGGCAATACAAATGAATAAATGAATGGAAATAAATTCACTTGCTTATTCCACCACATTATTAATCTGAAAATTGGTAATTCAAAAGCATTTACTCAGGCTTGATAGGAGATACCGTAGTTCATTTAAGATTAATGAGAGAAGGCCTTTCTTTAAAAATTCTAGCTAATAAATGTAAAAGGAATGGTAACATTAGGAAAATCATCATTTTGCAGCTTCTAGGAAATAACAGATTCAGGAAAGGGTCATTAAGGATGCCAAAAATATTAGATAAAAAGTTTTTGGGAAAAAAACAAGGTATTTGCACACAGCCAAGTATCATCTCATAGATTATTTGATAACTAGAAAATGGAAAACACTTTTAAATGGACAGTTCTGGCAGCATTACTACCTTCATCAACTGAGCAATTCTTGCTTCACTGATCACATGAGAACCTGAAATTCTGTCCTCACATCATCCTAATGAGGTAGTCTTGCCAAAAATGTTTAACCTGAATTAATCAAGCTTTGACACCAAACTTCTAGAGTCCATGAAATGTAGAAGAGAGAGGAATAAGTTAAATACCACAGATCTAGTATATGGGACACTGTATAAGAAACTGGCCTATAAGAAATCAATCTATATATATATAAATAAATAAATAAAAGAGGAGAAACTCTCAGACCAAAAGTAACATAAATAAGTCATAAGCATCAAATGTAACTCAAGGCCTAGGAGTCTAGACTGAATCCAATATTATTATGTGATAACTGCATAATTGTTATGTGGGAGGATACGATAATCCCTGGGAGAAGCACGATTCAGGAGTGAAGAGACATTAAGACTAACTTTCAAGTAGTTCTGCCAGAAAGTAAACACGTATGCGTGCGCACATGCACACACAGAGCAAATAAAACAAAGTACAGTTGACCTCTGAACGACACAGGTTTGAATTTCACGGGTGGATTTTTTTAAATGAACACTGTTCACTGCTGTGAATGTATTTTCCTTATGATTTCTTAATAACATTTCCTTTTCTCTAGAATTTATTGTTAAGAATACAGAATATCATACATATAACACACAAAATATGTGTCAATTGGCTGTTTAAATTATTGGTAAGGCTTCCGGTCAACTGTAGGCTATTAGTGGTAAAGTTTTTGGGGGGCCAAAAGTTACACATGGATCTTGGACTGCACAGGGGGTTGGCACCCCTAACCCCCATGTTGTTCAAGGGTTGCTGTATTAATAACTGTTGAATATGGATGGTTGGTATGCAAGTTTATGTTTAGGTGTGCTATGGTTTTAGCTCTTCTGTATGCCTAAAATTTTTCATAATAAAATGTTAGGGAAAAAAAGGTCAAGAAATGGAAGGGTAACCAAACTGTCTTAAGTGGAAGAGAGAGGGTTCTCCCTCAGACTAGAAAGAGGATCAGGAATCGTATTTAATTTGCTCACTACTGATTATCTAGTACCTAGCACAGGACCTGGCATACAATAAACACTCAAATTTATACTTGCTGAATGAATAAATGAGTAAATGGTAATATTTGAGGGCAAAGGTAAAGGTACATAAGAAAATTTATACCTGATGCTTATATTGTTAAAAGACGGAAAATCTTGAGAAGATAGAAGATAGAAAACTATCTGCTGAGAAGAAACGGAGAGGCATTGTGATCTTTGGGAAATAAGGTTGACTGACTTCATGACTTCTTATCACTATTTTCATACATGCCAATCTTTGCAAGATTTCAGTATTACTAATTACAATATTGAGATTCATTTAAAAACAAAAATATCATATCAGCTGCATAACAAGATTTAAAAAAATGATCCACATTTTTATTACAACTATCACTAAAAGGAATCTAATACTGTGAACTTACTTTTCTGACAGATGCTCTAGTCTTCATGTGACTGTTTCTCAAAGTCTGGAAGGTCGCCATAACTATATTGCTGTTGTATGTAATCAATGAAGAATTAATCCATAAAACACCTAAGGAAAACATATTAAAAGAAAACAACTAATTTACTGATTTTAGTGATTCAGGCAAGCATTCTGTACTAAAATAACTTCTTTAAATTCAGTCATTTAAAAAAAAATAAAAACATTAAAATTCTAAGACATAAAGAATTATTTTAAGTAGTCTGCCCTTATCTATTCAATCTCACTGCCTTTGTGTTTTGTTTTGTTTTGCTTTTTACAAATAAGAAAGTATTTGAAAGTCTTAATAAGAAATGTTTGGTGGGTAACCCTCTCAAGTCCCCTCCCTCTTCGGGAGCTTTGTACTATAGCTCAATAAACCTTAATTTTGCTTTAACAAAAAAAAAAAAAAAAAAAAGAAATGTTTGGAAAACCTTTTAAAATCTAAAATAGTATCACAAAAGAATCCCAGCCTTCTTGCCTCCCAAAAGTCATTCGAACCCTACAGCAACTGTGAGTGTGTGAATGCTCTACTCCTTATTTCTTGGGCAGAAATATTTGATAATATACAAATGAGACTATGAACCTGTATATATCAAATAAAATCCCATAAACAGTAACAAACTCCTTATTTAGGAATCTTAACAGCACACCAATGAGCAGAGTTCAAAAAACATCCAAGTTAAATGATTAAGAGTACTTAAAACACAGGCATGCACACACATGCACACACACACATGCACACACACACACATACACACAGAGACCTTGGAAGAAACTCTAAAACTAAGAACTTAACTTTTTATCAATGTTTTAAGAAAGTACCTCTGAAAGCTTAAATCAACTTGGGCATTAAGTACTCAATATTCACATCTAATCACAGTGCCTTGTCCATTTAAAATCTACCTGTGCTCACGCTATGCATACAGGGAGAACAAAGCAATACAGCCCTCTGGGGTTCAGAGACTTGGAAGGAAAGTATTTCATTATAATAAAGAATGAGAAGAGGAACTAAATTCTAAATCACTAAATAATTTAAAAATTTGAATGAATAAAATTTAAGAAACAGTTTCAGTCAAACTGGCCTTACCAAGAATAACTTAGTTGAGGTTTTTAAAACATCTGATTAATATAAATTTACACTATGAAGAGACATATATGCAAAAACCAAGCGTGAACCTACTTTCCATCAGAACGGCAAACAAATTAAATGTTGGTGGAGTTCTAATTTTATATTCTTTCACCGTAAAGAGAATATCAAAGTGTGTATGCATGCACGCACACATATGCACCTCCCTCTAGAGATTTCCAGATTCTAATTTTTAACAAAGAATTATGATGATATTCTATTCTGAACTAGAATTAATCCTAGTGGTCTCCTTAACAATAAAATTTGATTAATGACTAGAATTGAAGCAGGATTTTGAGAAAGGCAAGGGAGGTCCCAAAAGCCCAAGATCAAGAACAATATACCAGGACTCAGAAGAGTACCATTTGTGTCCCTATTCTACCTCTCATTAGCTTTGTTTCCTCTAGGTAAATTGCAGTATCTCTGGATCTGTTTCCTCAATGTATATATCAACTTACTTTCTGAAGAAGTTTATCGTAAGAACCAAATGGAAAATAATTTATAGGAGATACTTTGGAAATGCGAAATAAGTCAATCAGAGAAAGACATGTATCACATGACCTCACTGATATAAGGAATTCTTAATCTCAGGAAACAAACTGAGGGTTACTGGAGTGGTGGGGGGTGGGAGGGATGGGGTGGCTGGGTAATAGACATTGGGGAGGGTATGTGCTATGGTGAGCGCTGTGAATTGTGTACGACTGTTGAATCACAGACCTGTACCTCTGAAACAAATACATTATATGTTAAAAAAAAAAAAAAGAAAATAGCAGGAAGGGAAAAATGAAGGGGGGGAAATCGGAGGGGGAGACGAACCATGAGAGACTATGGACTCTAAGAAACAAACTGAGGGTTCTAGAGGGGAGGGGGTGGGGGGATGGGTTAGCCTGGTGATGGGTATTAAAGAGGGCACGCATTGAATGGAGCACAGGGTGTTATAGGTAAACAGTGAACCATGGAACACTACATCAAAAACTAATGATGTAATGTATGGTGATTAACATAACATAATAGAAAAAAAAAGATACTTTGGAAACTATACATCATAGGTAAAAGAAAAACTAAAATTTTTACTTATGGACCAAAATGATCAAGGGGGCCAAATTCTCAAAACAGGGTGTAAATATAAAAGTTTATGTGGCCAAAGCAAGACAATAATCTTTTTGTATTTCCCAGCCAACTCATTCTCCTTTTCCCCACAGAGTTCTCTTCAACTGCCAGAAACCCTCAGAGGCAAAGGGACTTGTCTTAAACGTTACATAAAGCCTATAAAATACAAAGGCCAACATAAGGGTTCCAGAAAAGCAAAATTCTCAAACTCGGCACCTGAGTCAATTGGCACCTTTCGTGTGGGCAGCCATGTAATACAGATCAAAACTTTGAAAATATTCCTATGCTTTAATACAATAATTCTCCTTCTGGGAATTCATCAAAGAAAGCAATGATCTCGAAGCAACGAGGGTCCAAATGAGAGCTCATAAAACCCCAAGTACTTTGCTAAGGGATTTACGTGAACATCTCATGAAATCCTTAGGACTGGGAGAGTAGTACTCCAGTTTTACAGTGAGACAAACTGAGGAAAGGGGAAGTTAGGCAATTCGCCCCAGCCCACACAGTAAGCAGTAGAGCTGAGATTCAAATCTAAACCAAACTCTAGCACCCAGGCTCTTAACCACCCCTCTGGAGTGTGTAAAGGTTTGAAAAGCAGTTCATCACACTTTATATTAGAAACAATAAGCCCTCTAGATGCCAGAAACGGGAGAGTGACTGAATAACCCAGATGCGGTCCCCCATGATGCACATTCAAAACGACACTGAAGGACAGAGAAGGAGCACACAAAGCATCGTCCCTTTCTCGGACTCCTAAAAGGGCGAAATGGGGGAAAGAGATGGGAAACAGCAATCACCTTTGCAGCTGCTAACTGAAGTCAACAGGAGGAAAGATGACACACTAACTCAGAAGAGAAGGTGACCAATTATCTAGATGAGCCGCTCACCGGAAGGTGCTGTGACAAGCCATGCCCCTGAGGCACAACAGACAGTGACAAGGAGTTTGCGGGCAGCCAGGGTGCTGAGACAACATACTGCCTGCATTTGACACCTCTAATTACCCCAGTGCTCTACTACAATACTCCTGAATAGCAGACCTAGAGAGAACACTCTCTTCACAGTTGAGTACTAAAGCAAAATGGAACCCAACATTCAACAGACCTATGAAGGAACACTAAGAACATAAAATAAAAATAAATAAATATACTAAAGAAAGAAAGAAAAATCCAGACAAATATAATCATGCCACCCAAAACTCGTATTATCTATTTTCAGAACGGTCCCTCAGAATTTGTATTAATAAAAAAGAAACTATATTTAGTTCCATATCTTCACTCATTTTCTGAGCCCTACTCCATCCCTTTGTGTTTAACTTAACACATAAGTAAAATACTATCTCACAAAGGGAAAAACCTATCAGAGAATAATCTTTGCAACAGTCCATTCAAGTGAATCCAACACGAGATGGTATGACTCATACTTCTGGTAAAGCAGACCTTTGGAAATGAAGCAAAGACAAATGGGGGAGAAAGAGCAACAGAGCAGGGTTTCTTCAGCATCTTATATAATTAGAGAGAATGTAGTTTTGTTTTGGTTTTTTAGAAGATGTTTTTCTTTCTTTTTTTTTTTAAAGATTTTTTATTTATTTTTTGACAGAGAGAGAGACAGCGAGAGAGGTTCGGAACACAAGCCGGGGGAGTGGGAGAGGGAGAAGCAGGCTTCCCGCAGAGCAGGGAGCCCGATGCGGGGCTCGATTCCAGGACCCTGGGATCATGACCTGAGCCGAAGGCAGACGCTTAACCAACTGAGCCACCCAGGTGCCCTGAGAGAATGTAGTTTTAAATAGATTTCACAAGAGGGGCAAAACTACAGTATTTTCCTCTAAACACCTTTGTGTTATGATAATAAACTTTCCACTGAATGCTTTTTTGATTTGTGCCCTATTATAGGTAAATAAACAAGAGTCCTAAGTAGGGAATAACGAAGTGTGTTTCTCTACAAAGAAATTAAAGTGAATCTAGATCATTTGTTTGAAAGCAGATCAGAGACAGGAAGTACAGATAGACAAGGCAAACAACTGAAAAGAAAGCTGCTAGAGCTCAGTAAAAACACAGCATATAAAAACACCACCATGAAACAGGGGCATTTGGGTGGCTCAGTCAGTTAAGCATCTGACTTCGGCTCAGGTCATGATCTCAGGGTCCTGGGATCGAGCCCCATGTTGAGCTCCTGCTCAGCGGGGAGTCTGCTTGTCCCTCTCCCTCTGCCCCTTCCCGTGCTTGTGTGTGCAACACACTCTCTCTCTCAAATAAAGAAATAAAATCCTTAAAACTAAACAAATAGATAATAAATTAAAAAATAAAAATACCATGAAATAAATGAAATCCCTTAGAAGCAACCAAAAAGCAGAATGGATATTGCTAAAAGTACTAGAACGCCAACGAAGTCTTAAGAAATATCACAGAATAAAAACAGATGAAAGCATTAGAGAAACAATTATAGAGAGTATAGAAAACAGACATATGGGACACTTTGAATAAATTACACTTATCTTGGATCCTGTGATTTCCTTTCTTAAAATTTATCCTGCATATATACTTGCACAAAATTCATGAAGATATATGTGAAAGAATGTTCACTAAAACAAAACAAAACAAAAAACTAAAAATAATGTAGAAGTCCATCAAATTATACTACATTTGTATGACTGATTATTACCAGCTGTTGGAGTTAGATCAATACACACTGATGTGACAACAAGTCCATAAAATATTAAGGTAAAAAGCAAGCTGCAGAACAGTGTAAACAGTATGTGCTCCCTACTTGTCGTTAAAAAATAATTACATATACATGCAACTGTGTGTGTATATTTGCACATGTCTAGGAGATACTAGAGTGGATACAGACTAAACTTATGACAGTGGTCATTCATGACAGCTTGGACTTTTTTTAATGTTATGAAATGTCATATAACTATAATATGGGAAGATGATACGTTGTTAAGTAAAAGAAGACAAATTTCCACATGCTCACAGTATCCCGTTTTTGTGTAAAATCTGTATGACTGCACATGTGTATTTATATACACAATGTAAAAAAGAACATCTACTAAATGGGTATAAACATTGTTTTTTACCTGGGTAGATGCAATTATATGAGTTTTATTTTTCTGGACGTGTCTAAGTTCTTTCATAATCAGAAAACAAATACTTCCAAGTCTTTCCTCCTCTCCTCTGGCCTAAGAAATTTTCAAGTTGACATCATCTATTTCCTGACCTTTTTATAGCATGAGTTAACCAAGCCAAGGAGTCTCTGAAACACGCTCCTTGTCTTCTACCAACACTCTTATCCTATCTTGACCCTCTTCCTATGGCACTGGTTCTCAAACTTCAGTACACATGTGGATCACCTTATTTTTAACAACCCCTCACCTCCAAAGATCCAGATTCAGGTCTACATAGAACCCTGAAATCTCCATCTTTAACGAGTACCCTCTGTAATTTCTGATTAAGAGACACTTCGTCTCTCTAGCCACTACATTAGTCTGTTTCCCTAAATTTTTTCACAACTTGTTACTCAAATGCTAACATTTCTAACCTCCATCCTTGTCCTTTGTGGTACTCATTCTACCTAGTTTTCCAAGGACAGTTAATCTCTACCTTTGGTTTTAACTGTGCAAATAACTCCCTAATGTCTATCTCCAGTTCAGTTCCTGCACTTGAGTTTCAGTTCCCTGGTCCAATTTTCTATTAGATACTTCTGACTAAATATCCCAGTTACTCCAAAATCAGAATGTCCAAAAAATTGAATAAAACGTTCTCTCTAAACAATCTTCTTCTGTATTCCATCAGTAAGAGCCAGTAAACCAACTAAGCCAGCAGGCCAACCTGGAAACTGGCTTTTCCCTCAATCCCTACAGATTACCACATCTAGTCAATCCGCAATCCTGACCTGGCTCCCTCCTCAACTTCCCGCCAATCTACCCTCTCTTCCATCAGCTGAACTGCTACTTACTCTTCATGTATCAGTTCAAGGACCTCCCTCCTTGAGGAAGACCTGGCTCATCTCATCTATCCCTCTTTGCCCAAACAGTAGCCACATCCTTTATGTTCCCAAAGTGGTTTGTCCTTTATTCTTTTGGTGCCGTTGTTTGCATTCTTCCTTCCTTTTGTGAATTCCTTGAGGACAAAAATGTTTTATTGTGTTTGTATTCTAACACGGAAGGCATTCAAACATCTACTGAATTAATAAATAAAAAGTCTTTAAAAAGGAAAGTATACCTTTAAATGTTTACACAGGTACTTCTACATTTAATGAATTATTTGTGAAAATATAAAAGCTTCCAATAATTTCTAATTCTATAATATTTGATATTTATAACAAATGCTCCAAAAACATGTTGGCCAAATTCCAAATGGCCAAGCATTAAAAATTAATATTCTGGGGCACCTGGGTGGCTCAGTTGGTTGGGCGAGTGCCTTTGGCTCAGGTCATGATCCTGGAGTCCCAGGATCGAGTCCCACATTGGGCTCCCTGCTCAGCGGGGAGTCTGCTTCTCCCTCTGACCCTCCCCCACTCTCATGCTCTCTCTCAAATAAATAAGTGAAATCTTTAAAAAAAAATAATATTCTGTTAAATATAAATACAACAAAGCAGGGCAAAATATATGAAACATGAGTTTTCAGATATTAGACAACAGGTAATCCAGGCCTATGACCGCTAAAAGAAGGGAAACACTAGCTGCCAGCTATTTCCAGGTCACAGCATGGACAAAAGAAAGCCAAGCAGTATGGCGGTCTCATCAAGCTGCAGAGACAGAGATGAGAGTCTGGGAAGGTCAAGGTGGCTAGAATTTGCAGGGCAGCGCACTGGAGAGAGAGCTCACAAAGACTGAAAGCATCAGAGAGCTGCCGATGGGTTCTTTCAGGGTCTTTGGTCGAATACTGATCTGTGCCGAGTATCAGAGATTGGGGAAATAATTACCTACCAAAGAGCAGCAAGCCAAACAATACCTAGAGCCAGACAGGGCTTGGAATAATTTGCACTCCCACCAACCAGAGTGGGAAAAACCTTGTAATATGTTAGGCAAAGGATGGCCTCCTTAGAAGGAAATCATCTAAGTTGGGGGACTAAGTCAGCACTACACCAGAGGCTGTTCTGTAGTCACCCTAACAAAGCTTAAAAGCAAGCTTCAAAACAATCCAACAGGTTCCAAATAACCTGTGAACCCCAACTAAATCCAACACTCTTAAAAAAAAAAAAACAACAACAAAATCAAGCAAGCAACAGCAGAAAACTCAATGGCTAGCACACAGTCAAAAATTATCAGTGGAGGAGAAAAATATGACCCATAACCATTAAGTGCAGATCCAGAAATGACAAAGATGATGGAATGAACAGAAAAGATGTTAAAATTGTATTACAAATGTTCCATATACTCAAGAAGGGAGAGGAAAACATGGTCCTAAGGAGAGAAACAGAAAATATAAGAGATCCAAACCAAACTTCTAGAGATAAAAATAAATCTAAATTAAAATACATACTGGGTACAATCAACAGCAGATTAGAGAACTACAAGAGAATACGAACTTTAAAGACATAGCAATAGAAGCTATCCAGAATGAAGCACAGAGAGAAGAAACCCACAACAAAGCAGCATCAGTGATTCACTGTGAAAGGTAACTGGACTCCCCAAGAATGTGGGGGAGAGGAACACTATATGAAAACAAAACGGCTCAGAATTTCCAAAAGCTGATGAAAACCGCAAACTGACAGATGCAAGGGAGATCAACAAACCCTAAGAAAAATAAACAAAAAGAAAACCACACCAAGCACATCATAACGCAGTTTCTGAAAACTAGTGACAGAAAAATCTTAAGCAAGAAAGAAAAGTATACATTACATACAGAGGAACAAAGAAAGACAGCAGACTTCCTGGCAGAAACTATGCTGGCCCATAAATAAGATAATTGAGCAACACCTCAAAAAAGTGTCAACGGATGGGGTGCCTGGGTGGCTCAGTTCAGTTGGTCCAGCTCTTGATTTCGACTCAGGTCATGGATTAGATTTCATCTCAGGGTCCCGGGATAGAGCCCCTCGTGGGTTCCCGTGCTCAGGAGGGAGTCTGCTTGAGGCTCTCTCTCTCTCCCTTTCCCTCCATCCCTCCCCACGCTCGTGCACATGTTCTCTTTCTCTCTCTCTCTCTCAAATAAGTAAATATTTTTTCTTAAAAAGTGTCAACTGAGATATCCATACCCAATGAAAATATCTTTCAAAAATTAAGGCAAAATAAGTTTATTTGAACTAAAAAAGCTGTGAGAATTCATCACTAGCCAACCATCACTAGAATAATAGGCAAGAGAAAAACAATACCAGATGGAAGTCTGAATCTAAACAAGGAATTTAGAATGCTTAAAAGGGTAAATATGAGGGTAATACAAAAGATATTTTATAGAGATATTTTCTCCTTGTTTAATCCCTTTAAAAAATAACTATTTAAACTAAAAGTAATAACAACATATAATGGGGTTTACAACATACACAAGTAAAAGGCATGACAAAATAAAACCAACAGAGTGTGGTAGGCTGGAGTTAAAAAAAAAATGCTGTTCCTACAGTATACAAAAAAATGATACTGATAAGTTAAAGTTGTCTTGTAAACCCTAGAGCAACCATTAAAAACAAAACAGAATAATACCTAATAGGCAAACAGTGGCATAAAGGTGATGCTATCTCCCTTTTCTGCAAAATCAGGAAGCTAAGGCTCATCTTCACAGGATTGCTATAAGAATGCAATTACATAATATATGTAAAAACAGTATCTGATATAGCAGGAATTGATACAACAGGAATTCAAATATTTGCTTCTTCCTTAAGAAGACTTGCTGTTTGACATAAAACCTAAAAATACCACAGCTATCAGTTATTACTTTGTTTTCTCTTTCAAAACAATAATTAACCATAAAAAAAGACCCAATTTGTGTATGACCTGTGATTATCTATTAAGATCCTTGCTCCTCTAGTTTCCTTATACCAACAATAAACACAGCTTAAAAAAAACAAACAAACCTAAAATCTTCAGGCTGTGCTTTCAATACATGGCTTAGAAGTTTAAGTAATATTCTTAATCTTCTACATAACCCCCATCTACAAGATTATTTTAACAAAAAATATGTTCAGAATTTTAACCCAGGAAAACATTCATCAGCGACATCTACAACACCATGACTCAAAGAATATACTGCTGAAAAGACATTTAATTAGCTCTTACAAATAGTAATAAGGCACTACCCTAATCCGCCAGTAGCAGGAATGAGTGAATGGATCTGCTTTGCCAATGGCCCAGTGCTTGGTACATACGAGGCATCCTAAAAGCCTGTGCAAAACCTATTAACTGACAGGATATCTAAGGCATAAAAAAGAAAGAAGAGTGTGAAAGATAATTTTAAGATTTCAAGCTTGGGGAGCAGGAAGAAAAGTGGAGCCTTTGCCAATTACAGGGTAACTGGAAGACAGTGTTCTATCAATATAATACCCAAAAGGCACCTAAAATACATACATTAGTTGGGGTGGTGAGAGCTAGAGTTGTTATTCTAGGAACCATCTATACATACAGAACTTGAAAGCTGATCCTAGAGACTTCCTAGATCAAGAAGGAATCTAAGGGGACAACCATGATAAAGGTTTGCTGGGCAGGTAAACAAATACCACAAATACGGGGCAGTTGGAAAAGCAAGAGTAGAGATTTGAAAAATTTAGTGTCACTGGAGTCAAGAAATAATTTTATGTCTGGAATGGTATTAAACTTCTAAACTCCTGAGGGCAGAAATGATATTCTTTCATCGCTGAATGCCACAGGAGCCTCGATCGCAGTATGCAGCCGGAAGTGATGATACCACATCCTTACACTGTGTCAGTCGGGTGCTGCTTAATGGCTTAATGGCTTAAACAGAATTCACACTTCTCACAACAGAAGTTGGTGTTACTATACCCATCTTACACATAAAGAGACTGAGGCACAAAACGCTTACGTAATTCGCCTTAACTTACAAACCTAGAAGACTCTGTCCTGAAGGAGACCATTACCGAGAGCAAGTTCAGTGTAATACTGGGGGGAAAACTCAAACGGCAGGATGTTAAATTATACCAGAGGTACCCATCATTTCCTCCCTGTCCGTCCCCTCTTTATTAGAAACTTGCAGTGCCCAGTCTAAAAAAGTACAAACTGAGGGCGCCTGGGTGGCTCAGTCGGTTAAGCGTCTGCCTTCAGCTCAGGTCATGATCCTGGGATCCCTGCTCAGAGGGGAGTCGGCTTCTCCCTCTGCCCCTGCTCCCCCCCGCCCCGCCACTGGCGTTCTCTGGCTCACTCTGCTTTCTCTCTCAAATAAATACATTTTTTTTACAATCTTAAAAAAAAAAAAAAAAAAGTACAAACTTAGAAGACATACCTAATCTCCTTCCCATCCATTTTCCCATTCCCATCTTCCCCTTTCCTCAGCCAAAGGGACGACAAGTAGATACCTGGCCCACAG